GACCCTTTTCCCTTCCCCCTTTATGTTGTAATTGTCTTGTGTTACATCTGCATGTATTGGAAGCCTTATTAGAAAACGTTATAATATTTGCTTTTAATTGCCAATCATATTTTAAAGAATCCAAGAACAGAATAGTTCATTATATTTACCCAGATATTTACCACTTGTGTTGCTCTTCCATTATTCCTCATGTTCCATTTCCTCTTACTGAATAACTTCATTTACCAATTCTTTTAGAGCTGACAACTAATTTTATGGTTTTCCCTCAACTGAGAATGTCTTTTATTTCACATTTATTCCTTAAGGATAATTTCAGTAGATTCAAGATTTTGGGTTATAGTTCTTTTCTGTCTTAGCACTTAAGAATATTGTTTCACTTCCTTCTAGACTACATAGTTTATGATGAGAAATCAATAGTTACTCAAGTAATTAACCTACTTTCCCCTCATAAATATAATACATTGTTTTTTTCAGTCTTCTTACAAGATTTTTCCTTTGTAATTTTCAGCAGTTTCATTGTGATGTGTCTAGGCATGGATTTAATTGGAAGGTATACCGTTTGGGGTTTGTGAGCTTCTCGAATCTAGAGGTTTATGTCTTACATCAAATTTGGGACATTTCTAGCCATTACTGTTGTTTCTTCCTCCTCATACTCCACTCATTTTCCTCTCCTTCTTGGGCTCTTAACATGAATGTTAGGGTTTTGGTATCCCTGGGGCACTAATAATTTTTAAAAAATGTTTCTTCTCTATACTGTTCAGATTGGGTAATTTCTGTTAATCTCTCTTCAAGTTCATTGACTTTCTATTCTGCTATGTAGTCTTAGTATGTTTTCTTTTTCAGATCTTACATTTTTCAGTTCTAAAATTTTCATATGGTAATTCTTTGTACCTTCTATTTCTTTGCTATGATTTTCCTAGCTTTCTTCTTGTTTCAGGAATATTTGCTCTTACTTGTTGGAGCATTTTTATGCTTGTTTTAAAATCTGTCAGATAATTCACCTAGTGCTCTAATATCTGTCATCTTGATACTGGTTTCTGTTGGTTTTGTTTTCCCCCATGAGTTTGACATTTTCCTTGTTCTCTCTATACCAAGTAGTTTTGGATTGTGTTTTGGACATTTTGAACTTTATGTTATGAAATTTAGTGTCTTGTTTAAGTGCTGTGGAGAATGATCATATTTTTGTTTTGGCAGGCAATTAGGTTGAGGCCACAAGTTCCAACCACCTTTCTGTAGGTTGTCATTTTAATCTCAGTTCTGTTTTCAAAACTTTTGCGGTGCTATTTGGATTTTTTCCATATGTACGCTACCCAGCAGCCAACATGTAACCCACATGAGAGTTTATTCCTATATTTATTTTTCAGAACCTATGGCATGTTGCTTATGGTCAAATTTGTATATGCGAAGTTCAAGGGTAAGCTAGGAGTTTATAAACAATTTATAGGTTACTTTCTTAAGCTCTTTCCTCTCCGTTATATCCATATTTTCTAGATTCCTGGGACATCTTTTCTGTCCTCTGGCTAGAAAGCTTGGTCTTCATTTACTCCACTGTGGTGTGTACTTTCCACAATTGCATGTGGAGCCAAGTGACAGAAAAACAGGAGAGAGAAAAAATCATTGAGATTAGGCTAGAGTTGCTTCAATCAGTGAGGATGGACTCTCCCTCAGAAGTTTAGGCTCCTGCTTACCCTGCTGCTGCCACTCTTGTAGCCATCACCACCATAGGATTACTTGAAACTAGGACATGAAAAATGAAGAACAGAGGAAAAAGAGAGATTTCCCTCACTTTTTCTGAGTATTACGAGTCCCCTTTCCCACTCCTTGGACAGAGCTAGAGAGCTTTTCCTAGAGCTCTTGCTCTCTCCTTTGTTGTTACTAATGGCCACTTTCCAGGTTTCAGCCTTCATTGAGTCCAGGCTGGGGCACAACTGGATGGGGGAAAAAAATTAGAAACTCACTGCCAGTTTGATAAAATATCAGGTTCTGGGGTCTTCCCCAGTCCACCTGCTATTATTAACTTTTGAATTTTCAATTAGCTGCTCCATTTATTCTGTCTGGTTTTTATAGTTTCAGTGAGAGTAACAGGGTGGAATGTGCTTACCCTATTTTACCCAGAACTGGAACTCCCCAATCTTACTACCTATTTTAGAATGTAATGGCAACTCGAATCTCCTTATTTCATAGTTAAATATGGTTTGTCAATTATAGTCTATCATTTTTTTCAACATACAAGGTGGGACAAAAATAGGTTTACTGTTGTGAGTACGTGAAACATAGAATTTATTCTTATATTCTTGTTTATTATTTTATTATTTTCCATACAAACGACTATAAACCTACTTTTGCCCCACACTGTATATGTGATCTTGCCATATGTAACAGTGCAAGCTCTGTTAAGAGGATAATGCTACATTAGGAAAATTAATTTCACCCTTAGAGCATAATTTTCATGAAGTCTAATTTTCCATAATTATATTACATTTGAAATTTTTTTTCTGTTTTCAGTTTAATTGCTGTTTTCTGCCGAGGATTTCTGGCTTGCCTTTCACTTTGGAAATGTTTTATTCTTTATTCATTTAAACCTTTACAGAATAATTTGTTTTAATAATTAGGTTACTGGTCATCATAGAGCATAGTATGAGGTGACGTGCTTCATGGACTCTTGGCACTCAGTCACTGTTGCAGACCCTGCACAGAAATTTTTGAGACCATCTGAAGCATATGAGGCAGATTGTATTATAAGACCTACAAGTATGGGTGACTTCATCTTTGGTTTCAATTTACCTGGTAAACAACAATATATATATATAGGATTATTTGTTCATCAGTGAATGGTGTTTGGAAAACAAGCCTTTTTCTGGATAGGTCCATAATGAAGGAATTGCATATGAAAGTTTCCTAGAAATTTCTTTTGTTGATCAGCTGCTGACAGGCAATCAAATCACTAATAATTTTTTTACAATCTGAACTAGAAAGTATTTCCAGGGCCTGCAATAGTAACTGAAAACAGAGCATGTGTCAGAGCATGCTCAGGCTGCTATAACAAAGTACTGCAAACTGGGTTGCTTATCAACAACAGAAATTGATTTCTCACAGTTCTGGAGGCTGGAAGTCCAAGATCAGGGTGCTACCATATTTGGGTGAGGGCCTCTTCTGGGTTGCAGACTTCCTCTTGCATCTTCACATGGTATAAGGGACTAGGTATCTCTCTGGAGCTTCTTTTGTAAGGTATAAATTCAGTTTATGAGGGTTCCACTCACATGACTTTTAAGCACTTCCCAAAGGCCCCACTTACTAATACCATTGCCATTAGGGGTTGGGATTTCAACGTATGAATTGGGTGGGTGGGGGGATACAAATATTCAGACCTTAGCAGCATGTAAATGATTCCATTAAAACAACAGTTGAAATTCTGAGTTTCATATCCATTTCAGTTTTATTATTGGTATTTAATAAGTTGGGTGTAATGAAACTATTGGTAGAAGTAAAAGTTCTGTTGCTGTTTTTATAAATAGATTGCCTAATCTGGTTCTGCATTTTACTTCCTGGTTAAGAATTTTATTTTTAACTGAAAAAATATGGTGCTGGAAAATGTAAATGCTGTGATTATAAATAGAGAGAACTTGGTGTGTTGAAGGGACAAGCGTTTTGTTTACTAAAGACCTGTTTGTTTGTTTGTTTAATTCATAGTGTTCAGTTAGATAACGAATATACTCAGATAATTTGTGAAAGTGTACTATTTTATGAAAGTTGAAGAAAGAGAAAAGATAACTTCTCTCCACCAATAAATATGTTCAACAATTAGTCTGAAAAGCTTTTTCTGGCCATAGGCCTTTATGATGTGGAATCAGGCACATTTACCTACTGGTCATTTCCATAGAAAAGGTCTAACATGGCCAGAACATCAGCTGACCTGTGTGCTCTCATTTGCATGTATCCTTCCTTTCCTTTGTTTTGAAAATTAAAGTCCTCACTGTCATGTTAAAATTTATAATTCCAGTTCTGAGTCCTTTAAAATGGAAATGCTGTAATAGGGGAGAATAGTTAGAAAAACACTTTTAATCCATTGGGTCTCAGTTGAGAAGCCTTTTTTCCAAACACACATATATCTTGAAAGGATTTGGTGCTCATTGTGTGTTTCTATAATATCTTCTGCTTACCGCCATTACTGTACCTGCTATACGGTAATGTAATTGTGGGTTTTGTTTTTGTCAGGTATGTCAGTGCTTAAGGCCTAGTGGTGCCTAGGAAATGGGGAAACTGGCTAAATATTTGTTGAATGAATAAATTAGAAATAAGCTGTAGACATGTGGGGAGTCTGGTGTAGAGCCTAGTTGGATAAAGAAAACTGATGACTGGTTAAGGATACTTAAGANTAGGAAATGGGGAAACTGGCTAAATATTTGTTGAATGAATAAATTAGAAATAAGCTGTAGACATGTGGGGAGTCTGGTGTAGAGCCTAGTTGGATAAAGAAAACTGATGACTGGTTAACGATACTTAAGATCTTTAGTTCAGGAAATAATTTAAATTCTAGTAGTTATTGGGTTTCTGGGGTGGNTGGTTAACGATACTTAAGATCTTTAGTTCAGGAAATAATTTAAATTCTAGTAGTTATTGGGTTTCTGGTGTGTGTGTGTGTGTGTGTGTGTGTGGATTTTTTTGTTGGGATACATTTTTTTCTAATTTTCTTTTACTTTGTTTTCAGTTCACTTTTTCCTGTGTGCTGAAAGTGACTTGTGCTCCTCCCTCACTAAATAAAGTGTTTTTATTATTGTTGGTCGTCAGCACCAATGTGTGTCTTCATATTTGAAGGCATACAGTTATTCTGTTAAAGTGTCTTAAATTCTAAATAAATTTTTCTCACATCCGGAGGCCCTCTGGAGTAAGTCGTTCTTTATACTTTCCTGTTCTCTTTTCTTTTGAACTCAAGTTAAATATAGATGCAGCTGAGTGTAAGTGAAGTGAAATGGGACTAATTTTCATAATTCTCTCCCTAGAATAGTTTGATGGAAAACCGATTACCTGACTGTTGGACCTGAAGAATCTTAAGGGTAAGAAGGCTTGTGAATATTTGTATACTTATTAAATACACTTTAAATGACACTCTTAGAAAATGAATGAATGAATGATGGTGACACACGTACAATATTGTGATTATAGCTTAACCATGATCTCTCTCCCTCCCGCTTTTTTTTTTTTTTTTTTTTTTTT